AAGAAAAGAACAATGCAGCTGTTCTTATCCCAAGGGACTGTAGATGCTTGAGCTGTGTCACTTCCATGGCTCTGAGGTCCCTGGCGGGGGCTTAAACAAATTGACAAGTTTTTCTTGCAGTGGAAGTCCACTCTGTCATGGTAGAGTAAGAACAACTAGTGCTGGTCACCAGAGTCCAATCTTCACAAGCAATGACTGTCAGTACCCACCTCTTGCACCGTTTAGCCTTTTACAGCTTATGTCATTTCTCAGCAGAACTGTATCAGTTCCCATGAGGAAGTTCAAATAGTACACAACATTACACACCATATACATTAATTAATATAACATATTCACCATACAAATGTACTGTTTTGCCAGTGGTGACTGTCCAGTGCTGCACACAGCTTGAACATGAGTTATATCATGTGTTCAAATGCTTTTTAAAATCAGAAATAATATGAGTCTAGCCCAGTTAGAAAACTAATTATGAAACATTTCTAAGGGATTTTTTTTAAAAGTGCAACCACATTATAACTTCAGAAGAATACCTTACTTAAAGTTGTAGAAATAGGTGCTGAAGGTTCTATTTCTTTAAAAATTTGTGTCAGCTGGAAGTAAATTTGTGCTGATTTACTGGCTGAAACAATTAGAAAATTGAAGCAGTATCAGAGAAAGTTGTTCCACTTCTCCAGACAATCAAGTAACATTATTTTTCACAGAACTTACATTGGAATGTATTGAACTGAAAAAACAAAGGCACCTTTTGATGCAGGATAAAAATGCAGTGCTAAGGTCGCTGCTTTGGCTACATGCAGGATTATCATATCAATCAGTTTGAAAGCAAATGTCAACAAGTGTGAGTGCCTCCATCTTTGCCTAACAAGTATCCCATGTCAGTCAGCCCCCAGTTACAAAACCTGTCTCTCTCACTAGTGAGATTTTATGTGAAATGTCTTAAAGCAGCCATTAATATTTAAATTACAGAGCAATAGGGAAATAGGAAACAACTCACCAGGTTTCCAGAGTCCCAGTTCTAGGAAACTCCTGACCAGCCCATGCTGCCTGTCTTACAAGGGCACCATCTATAACAACACTGACCTTGAAAATGAAATTTTGCAGCAGACAAAGGCTTTATTTCCTCCCTTGTGATCCCCTTTATTCTTTCCTGTGTGCCTTGCATCATTGTTATCCTTTTTCTTCCAGTGCTCTACTTACTGAATTTCATTTCCAGCAGTTAGTCAATGGTGAAGGAACCCAGGAACTGGAATTGTCACCTTGACTCAAAACTTCATTTCAGTTAGCCAGTGGTACAAGTTGACAGCCCAGTCAATGTGGGAATGGTTGGCAAGGGAAGCACCTAAGTCTAACCTGTGCTGATACCTAAGATGAAGCTCTTCTGTTCAGATTTTGGAATTTTGCCTGATTCTAATTAAATACAAATATATCTGAGGTAGTCTTTGAACTATGCTTATTTTACGAACACATACCTTTGGAGTTACATCATATCAGATAAGTATGTCATCTCTGAACAGTATAAGCAGCTTTAGGTTCTCTATTTTCAGTAACAGCTCTCTTATCTGAAAATGCCAACACAGATGGTATGAATTACTATTAAATACATCAATTACTTTTATTCTCAAAATATGTTCTAGGGTAGGTTCTTCTTACTTTTGTACTAGTAACACAAATTTAGCATGTGGCACATCCATGGAAAAGAAACAAGTTTTGATTATTACAACCCAGTTGCTAGGGAAGGGCTCTGTTATGCATATTGCAATGGTATATGTAAAATATCCTTGCATCACAAGGTTGCTCCATAGGGAACATTAGGTGGCTGCTGAAAATGTAGTTGTTTCTAAAATGTAAAAATAGTAATTTCTTTAACTGTCTTGTTATCACTTAAAAGGAAAGAGATATTCCTTTAACTTGTTCCCGTAAAAAAAAAAAAGCAACATTGGAACTTTACAGAATGGAGTGAAAAGAAAATATTTCCAAAAGAAAAACTCTGAAGGAATCAGAGTTTTTTAGAGATACTGCTTTGCTGCTCTCATGAGTCAAACATTGTTCTTGGAAACATTAATGTGTTCTAGAGACAATAAGTCAGTGGCTTTCATATAAATGCCTGATTCAGCTGGGTTATGGAATTAATTCACCTGCTCCAGAAATTACTGGGGTAAGTGCTTGCTACTGCAGTGAACTGTAACTACATTTCAGCAGCATGCTGCTCCTGTGTGGGCTTGCTAATGAGCAAGGCCACCTCCTGTAAGCGAAATAAGATCAGGAAATTGTGGGAAGGAGCTCAAAACACACTGTGTTTTTATAGTGCCTGCAAGACTCAGAACTCATTACATTTTTTGTCTTGAAAAGAAACATCCACTTAGTGAGGGAAATGTAGGGTAAAATTGTATAAAATTCCTGAAAAAATCAGCTTGATGGGAGTCATACAAAACATACTTTTGTACAAAAAGGCCAGAAAGAGTGGTTTATTGCTTCTCAGTAACATTTGAGTACATTGTTTAGGGAGGGAGGAGAAGGGAATTAAAAAAAGGCCTGGGGCTAACAGAGCAGAAGCAGGAGCTGGAATTGCTGGCCAGAGTTACAGGATCAGTCTGTTTGCTGGGGAAGACTGCAAATACTGGCATACAGTAATGTGTGCAAGAAGTACCTGAGGAGTACACTAGCTCTTTCACTTATTTGGGAATCATTGGTGGTTTCTCAAGGCACTTTCCAGTCTTCTTACTTGAAAAGGAGCTCTAGGCAGAACTAGACTTCCAAAGGGACATGGGATTATGGAGACATCTGTAGAGAATATCGAGGGCCAGGACAGCAAGACATGCAACGTTTTCACAGTCATTTGGATCAGGTGGGCATTCACAACTGTACTTAGACACTGCTGGCATTTCTTCCTTTGTCATTGTATTAATTATCCCTTAAAATGGCAGTAAAAAGGTGTTATAAACGTTTGCTTCTATCAGAGGAGTTATATATGGTTTAATGGAAATAGTATGTACATTCATAACAATGGAGAACTGAACCATAGGCAATATTCCTTTTGCATTAAATATTTAAGTACATATGTATGTCTGTGTTTACAATAAAGTTCTTTCACAATTTGTTGCAGAACCCCAGACTGGATTTCAGATTGCCTTTAAAATGTTGGATGCAGATGGCAATGAACAAGTTGAAAAGAAAGAATTCTTTAAGGTACATGTATTTACATGCATACTAATTATAAAGCATTTAAATAGCCCCATGGGTTATATTCACTAAATGGAGATTCATTAAAACCTTCAAGCCTATTTTTCAGTCCAATATATGATCACATACTAACTTAAAACTTTATATGAAAGGAGCACATACCAAAGCATTGCTGTAGAAGTACTTCTATTTGAGTTCACTTTTATGTGTGTTACCTTTGACTTGGATTTAAAAATCTGTTACTGGGAAGGTAGGAGTCTGTGTACATCCCTTAATCCCATTAGCTAATTTAAGCATCTGGAAAAATCTTCTCTTTTCTAAATATTTTAAATAATTTTTGTAATTCACCATCCTCTCTTGGTTTTTATTAACTTTGTTTGCTGTTGCACAGGGTTTTTTTACAAATTCACACTTGAGAGTAACAGCAGTTTTTCCCATATTTTGTATAAAATACAGATGCATAAAAATGAAGAAAATCTTGCTCTGATTTTTTAAAGAACAATAGTCTTAACTATGTGGCTTATTCAACTTCTAAGTATTTAACAGGATACTGTTTACAAAATACTTCTTGTCAGAAGTCAGACGTAAAATTAACAAACACCGTTTTTAATAGATTTTCAACTTAATTCAGAACAATCATATGATAGGTGACTAGAGAGACAATTTTATAATAAGCTGAAATGACTGTTAAAAGGCAAATTATTTTCTCTCACTAGGATAAAGTTAAAGATGATTGTTAATGCAGCAACGCTAGAGAACCATAGAATCTAAAACTTAACAAGTTGCACCCATTGTCAGATAAATTACCAAAAGTTTATTTACATGTACTTTCATAGCCTTACACTGTGAATTAATGATAAAATAGCTGTTAGCATGTGTTTTGCACTGATAGCCATTTTTTTAGTTAATTGTCTCTTAGCAAGATTATAATTGATGACTCATACTTAAGTATATTTTTTAAATCCTTTTGAGTTACTAGTACTGTTTGAAAATAATACTTGAAATTAGACCATTTCCCAGGAGAGGGCTCCCAGAAGCCCCTAACTGAGCCTGCAGGTACCCTGCACTCATTTGTTGCTACACAAAATCTTTTAAGCTTGAAGAATTTGCTCTGTTAAAATGTTAGCTATTCTGCTGATTAAAAGAAATAAAATTCTAACTAAAGCCTTTATTTTTAACCTACTAAACCTGGTACAAACCTAGTGACTTGTTATCAGAGCAGCAATGCCCTGATAACCAAAACATGTCTGTTAGGGCTGTGTTGTTCATCTACAAAACAAAGTGTTAGAGGGACACAAGTGGATGTGTTCAGCCTATAGTGACTCTGCACAAAATGCCATGTCAGCAGTACTTCCTTTAAATAAGTACTGTGTTCGTTGAGCAAATAAGGATATTCTTTCAGAAATACAGCACAGCTCTTATTTGCAAGATGTACAGTATGTCATATATTTAATATCCATTACACATTTCAGGTAATTCTAATTGAATCAGCTGGTGTGAACACCACCAAGTCATAGAAATAGAGGAGAAAATACTATACAAATTATAAAAATCATTTTATTCCTGTAGAAGGAATAAAACAAAATTTAAATTATGGTAGTTACATTGTTACTTTGCATTTCCTTTATGGGCTGTATTGATAAACTGATATAGAGTGGTAAAATCAGCCCATATAAATTGCAATGTCGAGCCACAAGAATCATTGCATTAAATTAAGGAAGTCCCAGAGGATGCAGGGTAGTCAAAAGATGAGTTTTCTCATATGACTGTTTACTTACAATTTATAAGCTGTGACTTTTTTAAGAGCAAAACTTATTTTTTATTGGTTAGGTTTAAAAAGAAAACTTCCAGAATGTAAGACTCTCAGACAATGTGTGTGCATTAACCTCCATACTCTAGTTCTGCATACGTCTTAGAAAACTTCTGTCAATCTACTAAGTCAGTAAATGGTGTGGCTAATCTGTCACTTGTCCCAGTTGACATCACAGGAAAATATGTCTGAAGTATTCTATTAGTTATTTCCACACTGTATTTGACTATAATAACAGGAAACATACGTAAGGAAAGGGCAGTGGAGAAGAGTAGCAAAAAACCAGTGATTAGGAGGCAGTTACTGTAAGCAGAGCATGATGGAAAAGGAAAATTTCAGTGCTGCTTCATTCTGTTGCTTTGTCACCTCTACTGGTAAGTCATGATGTACATCTGGTTATCTGTGAATCTAGACTGTAAGTTCTTTGCGGTAAGAAGTTTGCCTTGTTGTTTGCAAAATGTCCATCATGCTTTGAATTGTATATATCTCAAGTCCCACATGTTACTGGATAACCAGGCACATGATGTGTCACGTGAATCACTGAAGAAAGTGAGATGGGTGGCAAGTGGACTCTGCAACCTTAGTGCCAGCAGCACATGATGGAGGTAGGCTGTTCAGACCTGTATGGATCAGACACCAAAGGAGTGAGACATGCAGGATTTCCCAGTAGCTTCAGTGCTCTTTGCTAACATAAGTGAATGTTCAGGAAAGGAGATGTTTAATGTAATTCCATATTTTGAAGGAGTTTATCTTGCCCTCCATAGTCTTTCCATTTCTATGCACATTTCCCTCCTTTCCAGTAGGAGTTCTTGTTTTCTCTCCTCCCTACTTCTTTGTATTCAAGCAAGTCTATTTTGAATTTCTACTTCATCCATGTTTCAGTCGTAAACATTCACTGTGCATGAGACATTTCAGTATGAGGGCCCAGAATCACAGCAGTCTGTATTTTGAGGTGGGTATCCACGAGAATTTATTGCTTTGCCTTGTAGCTCTAGGGTGAAGAAGATGTGGTAGAAATGGTGTGTTCACAGTCGTTAGTGCCGTCATTTAATCAGCCCCTGCCAAAGTGTAAAGAATTGTTTCTCAGAGCCATATTATCTGCATCTTTGTGAAGACAGTAAGATACTTCTGTGAACTCTGCACTTCCAAGACATTCACGTGAGACTTGGTATGGGGAATTTCCAGACATATGCATGCAATAACCCATGCACATTAGTCCGAAACCACCCATCAAGAATAAGGCTACCAAAGATCCCCAGCAACTGAGGAATTTCCCTAACTCTGTCCTACTGAAAGATTTTTAAGTAAAATTAATGACAATTCAAAACTATTGGGAATGAAAATAGACTGACTCTGATGGCATATGCAAAAGCTGTGTGATTTAGACCTTCTAAATAGATTGTCTTTATACACTTCTCCTGGACAGAAGATACCACAGAAACTTGCAGAGGTTCTTCTGGGGCTGAATGAACCAGCACCTGACACTGTCAGCAATTGTGGTCGTTTGGTACTGAACTCCTCTGCACTGTGCTGGAAAAAATCTTCAGACTACTAAAAACTTTCAAGCACTGTAAGGGTTTACATACAGAGTAAGAAACAATAAACTAAATCTTCTGGAACACTTGTGAAAAAGTATATACTGCGTGTCTGTGTTCTTTAATAGTCTCTGCAGATTTTTTAAGAGTCATTGAAAAATAAAATTGAAAAGAAAAAATCTTTATTTTCTCTTGTTTGGAAAATATTTCCAGTTGCATGTCTTGTTTGTAAACAAAAGATGGATTTTTCAGATAAAAAAAAAATATGATTTTTCAGTGACAATATGGGCAAGCAGTCTTTATCCAGAGCTCTATATTTCTGTTTTGCCATTAAGAAATGCAAGATGCTTTCACCAAAGTAGTCAATTGGTTTGTAAAGGATCAAAAATCTAAATAATTTTGTGAAACTTGGGAGAAATGGTACTGTTTAATTGTCTTATTGCAGTATTTATTTTCACAGAATCACTCAGGTTGGAAAAGACCTGTAAGATCACTGAGTCTAACCATTAACCCTACTCTACCAAGTCCAGCTCTAAGCCATGTTCCCAAGCATCACATCTAGATGACTTTTAAACACATCCAGGGAAGGTGACTCAGCCACCTCCCTGGGCAGCATGTTCCAGTGTCTGACAACTCTTTCAGTGAAGACGTTCTTTCTAATGTCTAGTCTAACCCTCCCCTGGGGCAGCTTTAAGCCATTTCCTCTTGTTCTATCACCAGCTATTTGTGAAAAGTGAGGATACTATCAAGGCATGGCATTTAAAAAATAATAATAAAAAGTAACTATCCTGAGGAACTCAAAAACTGAGTCTATAAAAAAAAGCAGAACAGGTGATTTAGTCAAAATTTGAATACCAAGGGAAGAATATCAGGAACACAGTTAGTAGTTTTTTGCTATTCTACTTACAAGCCTGTATTGATTCTCTGAGGAACATAACAAAAAAAAAGGCAAAAAAAAAAAAAAAGGCACTTACAGGAGATTTGAAAACCCCACAAAATAATTACTCTGCAAAATAATGACTTGGGTAATGGATTTTTTCCCCAGTTTTCATCAGCAGGTGAGAAATCACTTTAAAATGTTTGAGAAGCAAAGCAGGAGTTTCTAAAACCCAGAGTTTTAAAAGCATCTCTCCCAGAGTCTCCACATCCAGAGTGCTCAGCCTAAGTCCTTATCTTTACCTGCAATGTAATAAGTCCCTTGTTCTCTCGTTTTTGCTGTCCGTTTGAGGATTCATGCAAATGTCTATGAAAGGTAGGTACCTTGAGCTGTGTTAAGTCACTCATTCCTGTGGCAGTGTTGACTTCCCCAGCTAAAATAGAATCAAAGACACCTTGGAGCTGAGATATACTTGAGATGCTACAAATTAATGCACTTTCTGTGATACCTTAAAGCTCTACCTGCAACAGTGGAAGCTATGGTTTTGAATGTGATTAGTTTAATTTCTTCTAAAAATTTTGTTACATAATTACACATTCAAGATTTATTTATCTGTGGGGTGGAGGGGAGGAAACTCAAACCACATTTTGTTTAATGCCTGTTCTGAAAACACAAGTGCTTATTTAATAAAATTATTCTTTATTATTAGTACTATAGTACCTCATTTGTAAAGGTACAGTTTTAATGTCTAGAAGATCATGTCTGTAGCAGAACTATATAAAGGTATTTAGAGGAACATCATGAAAATCACAGGATAATGTATATGTCTTGTGTGACCCTTGATATTATACTCCTGAGTTTCAAAATCTTATGAGTGAATGCTAAGCTTCTAGTGCAAGAAAATCTCCTGTAAAATTGGAGTAAGCCCTGAGTTCCAAGAGGTAGAGTCATATGCTCTGCATGACTATATTAAACACAATAGGTAAAACATTTCTGGGAAAAAGAGTGTCTGAATAGCAAAATATACTTAAATATGCAAATATTTTGTCATGACTAGACAACCTTGCAGAAAGCATAATGACTTTAGAAAAGGTGAATTTAATGAAAGCTGCTGAGAAAAGGAGACTCTTGTAAACCAAATATGTAATTTTCCTGTATGTTTTTTTTTTTTTCCATATTTTAACAAGTACAGCTGCAGAAAATCATTGGGAAGGAAGATGATATGCAAATAGCTGGAAATGAAACAGTATTTCAGGTATGAAATAGAGATATATTTTTCTTAACAAAAGCATTGTCATATTTCCCATGAACCGTGTTATTTTTTCAGTGTTTTTAGAAAAGTGTATTAGCATCAGTATTAGTCCTCTAGTTAAAGGAAAGTGCATGATTTGTCAATTACTTTCTAACTGGGAAAGAAAAATATTTGTCAATTCTGAATCTTCTGATTAAATTATTGCAATTAATGTATTTCATTACTGTGTGGTCACCCTGTTATTTAGTTTCTGTAAGCCCCTGTCTCAAAGTAACTCTCTTCTACTTAGAAAACTCAGAAGAAACTCTATCACCATATGAGAAAAGGTGGTCTTCCAAAGAGAAATTGGTACCTTAAACTTACCTAGGGGCTTTTCTTGCAGTAACATCAGCTTATTCTGAGTTGACTTAAAATGTCACTGAGGTGACAAAGGCAAGGGTTATTTTAATTAGGTCCACTTCCAGAAATAAATGGCTTAGATACAGACCAGAAGAAGAAGCAATCTTAGAGTATGATTTTCCAACTGTGTTAGAAGTTTCACTGGATTGCAGACCCCTAGCATATGGCAAGTACAGCTCATCAATGAAAGGAGGAGGTAAATTCCTGCTCTCTTCTGGCTATTTTCTGCTGAATCCTGCCAGTGCCACCTACCTTCTTCCCCAAGTGGAGTCTTTGCTAGCAGCCATGTCTTCAGCAGTCTCTACTTAGTGCAGAACCAAGATATTCTGTAGCCTGGATGAGATTAAATGAAACTGGAAACAGAGAGGGGGAAGTTCTGAAGTGCTGAAAACACCTCAGAAGAAGCTGATGAACTGGGGTGAAGGAGGGGCAGACTACAGATGGATTGTCTCCAACTATTACTATTAGATGCTGCTCACATCAGCAGCTCTCCTTTTGTTGTGTTCTTAAATTGGATAGTGTAGCTGAAGGATATTTTTCTCACCACAAACTTGCTTTCAGCTGTAAACTAAAAATGGATAATTAGGCATGGGGCAGCAACTGCTCATATTGGAAGTATTCAAAAAGAAACCCATACAAGGCCTGCTTGATAAACCTATCTATGCATCAGCAGTTTCTACAAAGAGTTCGTCTAGCTCATATTCTTTACTTTTTCACTTGCCTGGGGAAAAAATGGAAGTGGCAGTACTGTGAAGACCTTTAGTATTTACTAGACATAAGCAAAAGCTGTCTTCTGATATTTAAAGGTTTTGTTGCATCCAGAGTTCAGTTAAAAATTGTTTGACTGACAACCATCTCCTTTCTTGCATCTTTTCATCAGGCACCAGATTAAAATAGCTAGGATTAATAAGGTTGTCTGCTCCTCAAAACCAATTTCAATTGAGTCTTAACTGCCATGACAGTGAAAGAAAAAGGATCTTTATTCTGCATGAATACACAGCTATAGTATAAAATTTCCGGGGAAACTTATACAGTTGGACAGATTTAGTTATAAACATATAAGCTTATTGGGATCTAATTAAATACCAGAACCTGAATGTCTCTTAGTTTGTTTTTTGTCTTGCTTCAAATACTGTCTTCAGTATTCTCCACTGAGAAAAATCTGAAGTTAGTATAAGCAGAAAATACTATTTAATATGGTTTCTTACCAGATTATAAATGGAATTATAGTCTGTTCAAAAGAATTAAATTGCTTCAGCTTCAGGGAGTACAGCTACCTTAAAGTTATTCTGGTCTCTATTTCTGCTGGGCAAAGTCCAAATTACAACTTTCTGTCTGCTTTTCTTTCTTGTCTCTCACGAAAGAGGAACTAGAATAACTAAGGATTGCCTAATCTAAAGGCAGAAGGATGGTGGTTGACAGCTATACTCTTCTAGTGCAGTCAGTACCTGTGTTAGGGGTGCAACATACCTGTGCAGCACGTTGAATTTTGCAAGAATCTGGGTCAAGACTAAAATTAATATCCCTTCTCAAAAGAATATGTCATTAGTCTTGCCACCCCTCAGTTCGTAATAAATAGACACTTTTTTTTCTTGACTTGTCTTCTCCAACATAGACATGTATGTTTTTCATCAGCAGATGAACCTTGAATTCTGTTGAAAAACTTTTACACATTTTAAACCAAGGAGTATTGCAACGTCCCTGCATGCTTTAAAGGAAGCTCTCCAGGCAGATAAACCCCATAAAGAACCAAGCAGTGTGGCATCAAAATATTAAGCTATTAAAAAACTGCTGGGTCATTGTTTACCTCGTGGGCAAGGAAATTGTTTTCTTATTCTACGTGATCTGATGACATTATAAACTCAAGAGAGATAAAGAAATGGCCTTTCTGACATCTTTCTAGGTACCCAATTTGCTAGTACATTGAATTTGGCTTTGATAGCAAAAGTCTGTCCCTCAAGGAATTAATCCAGAAGCTTGTTGTGGTCACAGTAGCATTCCTTCCCATTGCACAGATGTGTGAGGCAAGCCTACCCCTTTAGGCTCTGCTACTTAACCTAGTCTGAAGTGCTTTACATTATATAGCTAGAGAAACCAGAAAGCAGTGTGGACTCCTGACAGGCCAGGGAAAACACATGATTTGGCTTTGCTATTACAGCTCTAGTCCTTGATTCAGAACAGTGAGAATCTGGTCATGGTCACTGAAGGCTACCAAGCACATTTGCTTGTAAAATTAATTGGAATAAACTGGAAATGAGCATGCTCAGTTGGTGTTTTGTGATACCTGAAGCTTGGGGTGGCAGCCTGAACATGGATAACCTGGGGAAGCATTCAAACAGTGGGGTGAGGGAAGTGGACAGAATCCATCAGGAGTCAGTTTTAGCACCAAGAGTAAGGTTTACCCATGCTGAGAAAGGCTGTTCTCTGCCTTTGAGGCCAGGTCCACATTAATAAAAAGAGCATGTTCACTGAACATCAGACCTCCTAAGGGGAGTCCTCCTTACAGATTTTTTACTTTTTATGGAAATTAATATTTTTAAAGTGTGGAGTGACAAGGAGGCAGGGCCTGAATTCTTGTGAGGGGTGTTCCCAACAGTGTATAGAAGCTGCTTTCCCCAGCCAAGCAGCCTCCAGCTTCACAGTGCAAATTGCCATTTCCTGACTGCTTGATGCAGCAGGATTTGGTCCCTCTCAGCCTCCTGGCAACACGACTAGTTTCAACTTGTTCCTACATTTTTTCATAAAGTACAGTGTTTGCTCCCAAAGTAGCGTTAGCCCACTTGACTGGAAGCCATTTTCATTCTGTACCTCCTTGTGAACTGATGAACCATGAGTGAGGCACTGAAAGCTGAAGATGTCCATGAAATTACATCTTCTTTGGTAAAGGCACTAACAGTACATGATAGCAATTCCATGGCATTAATTGTCATTAAAAAGCAACTAATCCCCAGGGAATGGGAATGCTGAATGTTGTTGAATGCTGGATACTAGGCTCTTTATTGCTTGGAAAGCATTCCATCAGATTTCTTCTCAGATACTGTCTGTTATATCCTCTGTAGAAAAAAAAGTTTACCCTGTCTGTAGTAGACCTGATGTATTCTTGAATCCTACCTTGAAGAAAGTGCCTTGTGAAACATGAAAAACTCGAGTATTGATTTAAATAATTAAAGGTGATTCATCATTAAATGATCTGTTGTTCATTCTGATACATACATTTGTCTGGGCTTTGCTAAAAAAGACTGCTTTTAGAGATCTGGATCTTCTGGTCTCCCTAGCTTGCCTGTTTACAGTTCTTTTCATTAGCTGTACCTGGCAGGATTAATTAAGTAAGTATCTTTTAAACCTTCTTTCCAGAACTGAGTTATAGAATGTATTATGACATCTTGGAAACTCTCAGAATGAAAGAAAGGTTGATGCTCTTGAGCAGTGTTTGAGGCTAAGCTGCTTAGGTTGAAGTTTGCATTGCGTACAGATATAGGAGCCTAGCATGACTGACCTAGGAGCTGACAAAGCATTTCAAAGAAGTGGACCCAGAAAAACAGCAAAGATTTAGTTTTACCTTTGGAAAGATTTGGGACATCACTAGCAGACAGAACCTAAGATGTTGTTCTTCTTGATCCTCCTCTTTTCTGCCACTGTTCTTCATATATTCACCCTCCTTCTATCTTAACCAAAAATTTTAATCCAAAATATGTATTATTTTTACAAGTTCTATTGAAACGGGACATTGCACAGCAAATAATGTCTCACAGGAAACAAGGAAGAGAGCAAGGGCTGTATTACAGATTTTAATCATGATGAATACTTTCCGGTCATGCCTTAGGCAAATTCTGCAATGAAAGGTGGTAAGAGTCTAGCGACAGCAAGTCTATTAACGTTTCAGATTAGTTTTGAAAATCAGTTAGGTACATTATTCCATAAATCCTGTCTCACTTTGTGATAAGTTTCTTCTCTGTGGCACTTGTTGCTACTTGTTGCAGTATCAGGTCCTAAATGTCAAAATCTCAGTGGAGAGCTAGAGGATGTCTGTGGTTCAGTGTTTGCAGCATCAGGCTTCCATGTTAACAGTCTGTGTAATGTAGTAAGGAAATAAATGTTGTGTTACCTGATCTTGCTTAAAAAGGAATAATTGCATAATTCAGCACTTCATGGTGCTTTTGAAAAGTGTACGAAGTGTTAACATTACTGTAGGAACACAAGTTTATATCTGTAATGTAGACACATGTTCATTAGTTCATATAGAACTGTGTGGCATCAGAACTTGGTCTTTGAGATTCTTTGTGTGAACCAGCAGTCCCAAGAACGTGACTGAGTTGCCCAGTTGAGACACACATCCCTGGCCCATCCCATGCTTGCATCAAGATGAGACTTGGAACATCACCATTTCTTCCCCACTATGTGCCTCAGCCTCACCTCAGCTGCACCCTCTCCAGGCTGAAGCCACCAAATACACCAAAAGACAGACTTCCGCTCAGTTTAGATAGTTCTGTGACTCAAAGCTACCAGTCTGGTCCATTTTACAGCTCCAGGATTAGGTTACCATGTCATGTTCATTGCCAAGAGAGACATTCCAAACATAACTTATTCTTTTACCTAAGCTCAGGAGGGTGAGGTGTTGGAAATATTCATAGAGCTCTCATTATCTTCTAACAAAGAGTTGTCATGTTGGTACTAATTTATACAGTTCAGCAGCAAATGCTCCTAATGATTCTGTGGACAAAAAGGAATTATGTACTAACATGTACTTCAATAGCATTAACTCTAGGAAAAGCAATTTTTTGAAATTTTACCCCTAAGCTGTAGTCTCTGTGGTCTCCTATTGCATATTCTGTTTTAAATAAATGTACTGTTCTTTAGTTTTAAAATACATTTAACTCTCACCAACTTAGTGTTTGGACATCTGCCAGTTCCACTTCGGATTTTCAACTGATAAAGAGGGTAGCAAACAAGTAGGTGCTTTTTTGTTTTAAATCCAGGGATAGGCTTTGTCATTCTAGGTAACATGAAATGGGTATTGTTTGTATGTCTTTTTCTAGCTTGTTAGTAGAGAAACATGAAATAAACTTTTTCTGTTACAGACTTAATTCTCAAAAGGTTATTTTAAAACTTTTTTCACTTTGTTATCAATGCAACGCTGATTTCAATATGGAGTAATTAAATTGGAAGCATTGAATTGTGTAATCATTTAAAATATATCAGCAAATGTATGTCTTGCCTTTTGCAAGTCTCCTTTAAACATGGTAGCAAAATACGCAAAAAAGCAGATTAGAATCTTGTTGCAGTGAGAAATACATGGGTTCTTTATTTCTTAAAAAACTTTGCATTCTGACATGAGTAGTTTGGGTTTGAATTTCAAATAAGCATACATGAATGTCTGACTTTTCAAAAAAGCATATACCAATGTTTATGCATCAGTCTTCTTAGTATTTGAAGTGTTTAAATCTTAAAAGGATGGATCTTGTGGGTATTTAAATATTCTTTGCCTGCAGTAAAATTATAAAGTTCAGTAATAACAGTTTGCATATAGCTTGAAAAGTGGTTTTTTTCTACATTCAATGATATGTAATTCTTATCATTGGCATCTAGTGAATTGTAGCTTGCAGTAGAGATGAGGAATGTTACCTCTTTAGCTATGAAATAACTGTGTCACATATGCAGTAAGCATGAAACACAGTGGACTAATGGAACTTGTTAGTGATGATGCTGAAAGCTAAATAACCATTAGTATTAAATCTTATGAATAGACTCTTGTCTTTCATCTTACCTCTTCAAGCAGATAAAAGACACAGAGGCTATTTAGATGTCATAAGAATAGTTTGTTGAAATCCCTCCAGACTTAAAAAAAAAAAAAAAAAATCCCTCTTCATGTTGCTTAGTGGTTTGTTGCGTTCAAAGGAATGCCAGTGTGCTAGTGCTGAAAGAAGAAAATAACAGAAATCCAGCATTATTTGTGGGTTTAGGTTTGCTAAAGATGCTGTTGAGTTGAAATAACGTGCATCCTTCTGCAGAAATCTCTTAATCATATTTAAAAAAAAATATACAGACAAGTCACTAATGCTGAAAATTCACCAGAAGCCTTGCAAAACCATATTATAATAGAGCACTGTAGATGTTTGTATTTTTCTGGGTTTGTTTCTCATGCTATTGTGGATGTCTTTAAATGACTGTAACAAATAAGGAATATCTAAAAACTTGTTTAGAAAGATGTTAACTTTATTTAAAGCCTCTCTTCACCTAAGCATAAAGGTTTTTCAAGATTTAACTGGCAACCTTCTCATTTCTAATAATAAAATGGACCAAAGGTGGTTGTAAATTGTACTCATCTTTCATACAGAATATTTAGAAGCAGAACATATATACACTGTTACCAGTTATGTGGAAGAATTATTCAGCTCTGAGATGCTGTGCAATAGCTTTGGGAACAGTAATTAAATTGCAAGTATCTCTTGTGAAATTCTAGTTCAAATAAATAAAACCAGATTTGTGGTGAATAAATATTAATAATAATTCAGTGCATAATAATTAATGATACAGTGGTTTTGTTTTACAGGGAGTAGAACCGGAAAGCTGTGGTATTAACACCACTTTGCTGATACATTTCTTTGGAAAAGAAGGAAAGGAAAAACTTCGCTTTTCCGAGTTTTTCAGGTATTTTTCCACTAGCCAAGCCTAACAGGAACCAGTCCTGTTCCTACCCCCTCTGCTTTGCACCAACACTGGCATTAACCTGACCCCACACTGAGCTGAGTCAGAAAGTTAAGCAGGTAATCAAGCAGGAGATTATTAATTTTTTTGCATGATTAAATTTCTAGTTTAGCTCTTGGGGTCTGCTGTCTGCAGGAGAAGTTGAGCACCATAACTCCAGGGTAAGGGTTGAGACCATTCTTGGCAGCCATGTGATAGCATACCTTAAGATAATATGATTCATGATTATTTTTCTTGATCAAATCCACAAAAAAGTGACTGCTTATCCATTAAATCTTTTCTGAGTTGAGATACCCCATTCCCCACTATATCTGCTATAGGACACTACTGGCAACTTCTTTGCTTGCTTCTGTCAAAACTTTACCTGTGCATTTTCCTTTACATTTTGAACTGCTTTTGCAATGGGACTACACAGGTCCTTTGTGGCACTTATGTCAGGACTGAGAATTAACACAGATGGTAAAACTAAGTCAGACTGAAACTGCAGTGGAACAGCAAGTGGCCATTGCTCCCCAAAACATCGCATTCCATCTGTTTCACTGTAACCTTTGCACAATCAGAAGTTAATAGAAAGTTCTAAGACTACTGTAGGGAATCGTTCTGTTTATATGTCATGTAAGTGTCAGAAATATGGTGTAATCCTTACTCACATCAGGTGGAAATTGTTGTTTTATTTGGATGAGATTCTTTTTTCCAGTCTTTCTTTTAGTCAGTAAGGATGACCACCACCTACACAAAATCACAACTCAGCTGGGTAAAACTCTCTGTTGCTTGGGAGCTCAATTTTCTCCTGAACTCCAGCTGCAACTCACTATGTGAACTCTGGGCCTAGAATCCAAATGCATAGTCTTTCTTTGAGATAAATGCAAGTGCCTAAATACCTGTGTGAATCTTGACACACATCTCGTAGCACAACATCAAGAGAAGATTATCTACATCAGTATTACCTTTATTACAAAAAATAATCAGTCATTTACAGGCTGCAGAAATTAATTTGGACAATGTTTTATTTCAGTTTATGTTCAGAAGCAGAGAATGTGTATCAGCCTTCTTAAAAATGAATGCTTATTGCAATCAGTAGAGTTTTGGGGAAAGACAGTGAAAAGGAAGAGCAGCAATTTTTCTAACACTAAAAAGTGTTTGGCTTCACTGGCTCTGGCACACGCCGATCTTCAAATAAACAACCTTTCTCTTTTGAAGACCTCGACTCAATAGGGCTTTAAGATGCCTCCAGCTCCCTTTTCTATAACTGCTATGATCCTCTCAATGAAACAAAAGGCAGAGAGCACAGTAGAAGGTAGTGTTTGCATATACAGTGTAAACTGAAAAGCCTCAGGTTTTAGATAAAATCCTACATTGACCCAGTGAAGCATGACATTGACGAAACTATGTACCTAGTACTTTCAGAACGTGTAGGTTAAAGACCTTTGCCTACCACACAGATAGAGGCCTGTAATCAAAATCAAACTCCCACATCTTGCTCTTAAAATTTGTGGGATAAGTGTAAGGTTTAATGCAGGTAATTTTTCAACAGTGGCAGTTATGTTTCGTAAAGCTGGAATGTGCCTCTTTATCACTGGGTAGACACTCCATCCCAGCTGCAACAAGACAGTGAAGTTTGTTTAACACGCAGAAAGGTGAATAAAAGGATCACTGTCTTTTTAACCTGTGTGAAGATATCACCTTTCACATGATTTTATTTGCAAGTAAATCAAGCACATCGTTTCTGTGTTCCTATTGTTCAGAGAAAATGTGATTTCTATCTGATGGCTTCTCATAACATTTTACCTTACGCGGGAAGCTATTGTTGGCTGTTTGATCAAAGTGCCATACTGTTTTTACAAGAGATGACTGATGAGCTGTTCAGACATAGATCATTGTCAAAAGCAGAAAATAATGATGGCAAATGCTTTTATCATTTTCCAAGTTCTTGCCTAGAAAGCTTTTCCATTGATCAGTGTAGTACCTAGTAGAAAGTAGAGGTGATTAGGTTTGATGAGGACACACTACAACTTGTCACATTAGTTAAATACACAGATATTGCTGTGCTGTAGAATCCTTGAGACTTAAAAAAAGGCAGGAATGCTTTTTTAAATTTCACTATACTTACATGGGAATTCAGAAAGCTGAGACTAGCATTCTCACCTCATTGCTTACATATATTTTCCTCATGCTTCCTTCTTTTCAGTTTGTCTGATGTTAAAAAATCCTTTTGTAAGTGTATAACCATCTCTGCATGTTCACCAGTGATGTCCAACCTTTTTCGCCCACAGTCAAAACATTTTAAAAATGTTAGACAGCAACAGTCAATAACTGAGGGCAATTATTTTGCCTTTTTCTCCTTTTCTTTGCATTCAGATGGTACACAGAAAGTGGAAACCATCTACATCTCTGCAGGCAATGTGGAGCTGATGTAGACCAGCTCTTGTGCCTCCCTCCCTGCTGCCCCAAACACAGGAGACACACTGATTATAGGGAGGAAAATGGTTAAGCATGCTGTGCTCCATCTGTCTCCACCTGATGAATGGTTCTTTAGAAATCATAGGTAGGCAATTCACACAAGGAAAGTCCTTACACTTTTTTACTGGACATAAGGAATGAGACCATGAAACAGAATATCAGGTCACTTTTCAACATTTCTTGGGCTGCTGGGAGCACAAAAGTAAAGAAGTAACCTTCTCATAGGTATTTTGTGACATCCATCAAGCTGTTTTCTCACTGCCCTCCAGAACATAGTCAAAACAGCAACCAAAGCTGTTTCTTTTCATTCCTTCCCGAACAGCGGTGGTGAGATTCCCACCTTGTTCTGCAAGGACTACATAGAAGTAGTGGAAGCAATCCAGGAAGCACACCATGCTATCTTTCCCAGAATAAACAGGTGGTTTCAGAGATCTTAAGGTGGGAGTCAAGGAAAGCATGTTCAGTTCCAGACTACCACTTGATTTCTTGTCAGTTGTATTTGTCCTTAACATAAGGACAATATAATTATTAATAATAATTAACAACTTCAAAAGCAACAGCTTATTTCTCTGACAAAAGTTAGGAATTTAAAATCTAAATAATCCTGGAGTGTATTTCTGTACCTCACTAGTAAAGGTAGTGCCTCCTGGTCAAGTGCAGCTCTATCAGTTTAAGAAAACATAAAACAATATGCAGCAAACCAAAAATCATGTAACAAAGAAGGGTAAATTTAATGTAAGCAGCTGTAACCAGGTGAGACTTCCTTCGCAGAAGACCTGAACTAATTTCTGTTTCACACAACCAGCACTCAGTTTTACACCTGAACAGTAGTGTCATCTTCTCACTCCAGGGCCCATCTTACAGACTGTCGGATTGCAAACATTAAGTCAGAAAGTCTTTGGAATTCAAGGTTTTTTATTTGTTCTTACACATGGCGTTTTGCCCTGGTTTTTTAAACACAAATAATTTTTGTCTTTTCCTTCCAAAAAATGTTTCACTTGTGCTTTGTTTGCCAGCTAAATGGTATGTACATTTTTTCTCCTGAGTAGAAAACTATTCCGTTTTCTAGCTATAGCAAATATTCTTGACAGCCACTGTTTTTTTTTTCCTGAAAAAGTCCCTTACTGATCTTGTTTAAGTAAGTCTAATCCCAAATAAAAGAGGAGACAGTAATTCACTCCCTAAACAGTTTACGACTGCTATTACTTTTTTTCTGTAATCTGTCCCCAAGCAAGCTTAAATCTCTCACAATCTCCTTGAAGGAAAGGGGAAAAAAAGTGCAGTGAGTATGGAAAGAATAGTCAGAAAACTTTCTGCTTGTTTTCTTTTTTTTCTGGGATGACGTACAAAAATGTACTTCCAGGTGTGGTTAAACAATGGGCATCTTTTAATCATTTAAGAAAAAATAACATTTCAAATCCAATTTATGACATTTTCTTATCTGAATCGTTGCTTCCAAATTTTTCCTCAGTTAGTAGAATTTTTCACCAGAAATATTCTTTAATCATAGCTTCTTTTTTATTTTCTGCTTTAGGTTGAAGGTTACAAATTGTATAACCATATGCAAAACATGCCTTTTCCATACCTGTCCTGTTTCTTTCCTTCATTATTTTGAATTCCTTGGTATGTTTCATTTGAAATCTTTCCTTTAAGAAACCAGAGTGATGTGGACTGAGCCACACTACTAGTGCTGTTATTGGCCTGGTACTGTTTGTGTTGTGGTGTGGATGCAGGATCTTTTTCAGGTAGCATCATCAACCAGTAGTGCATTTGCTGTGATGATGTCTTGGACATTTTCAGTTATTTTCATCTAGGGATTTGGCAGAGAGATTTTTCAGTTATTTTCATCTAGGGATTTGGCAGTGCTTTGCAGAGAGAGAATATGATTGCCTCCGTATTTGTCTCTGTGCCTATGCTTGTATCTGTGTGTGTATGGATATAGACCCCTAATACACGCAGAGATCACATCTGATGCAACCAGGATCAGACAGTGAGGAAGTGGAGAGGAGAACAGAATATGGCTTTGTGATTGTATATTCCTGTCATAACTGAATCTGAATAATTCTCAAATACTTAGTAATGATGTGGAGAAGAATCTCTATTTCTTCCTTTTGTATATACTTAGCAAAGGAATAGCTTGATTAGTTTCTATAGAATGCTTGTAAATGTAAGGGAGTAGTTCTGTTGTGTTTGGTTTGGAAACATAGTAAATCAAAGGGGATTTTGCCTGTAATTCTGAAAATGATGAAATTGATTCACTGTATTACCACTTGCAAAACCGATAACATAGAGCTAAATGTTTTCTAAAGCTTAATGGTCAAGCCCACATGACATTTTCTTTCTTTTGCTTTGAAAGTCAGGTTTGCAAAAAGACAACCTTTCAACTGGCTTGCAGGAGTCGTTTGGTGCAGAAAGGGTTATTGTGTCTTCAGAAGTACTTCAGCGTCCGAAGAGGAGCTGAAGCACAGTACAAGTGCTGGGAGTGTATATCCACCACTATCTTTGTCAATTTTCCTTCCTATAAATCAGTGCAACAAGAATTAGTCAGTTCTGTATTAGCATGTTAAAGCTCTGCACAGACTTTCAGTTCAGTTTTCTGTTTCATTCTGCTGCTGTGTGTTCTTAGCACTTCATTGCAACATCTCAGGTTGGAGGGGGAATAACTGCATTCCTGAGGTCTACCCACTTTTATTACATTTTCATTTCTATTAAAACTGAGTTGCCAAAAAGTCTTGAGAACCTCTCTCTTTCTGTAGGTCTGTAACACACATTACAAAATGAGGGATAAATCCTGATAAGGTTTTTGGATGCTGTTGTAACACAATAATGAATTTGGCCACTGGCCTTCAATGTGGGTGTTTTAGAGAGTGTGGATTAAACAGGGTGTCTTTAAAAAGTACTGTCTGTTCCCCGCCTTTCTCCCATCTTAAAAGTTTTTGATTTACCTTTCAGTTTTGTTATTTGGAAACTTATGGCTTGCTTTTATCCTCAAGCTACTATAGCATAAGTGTGTTCCCAGTGTAACTATTTTTGAATTGTAGAGCACATCTACAATCAGAGTCCTGTTCCTGTAGTTCAATTATGCCTCCCTCTAAAGTCCCAGGCCAAGATTCCACTGACTTATGGAGAGCAGGAATTTCATTCCTATGCTTGTTTTTCCTAATATCTGGAGAAATTTTTAAGGAATTTCCAGCTGAAACTCATCACACCATGATCCAGAAGATACAAAAGCAATATCCCTAGTGGTGTCTTGGCATTGAAGTATCAAGTTTTACTTCCTAAACAGAAAGTTATTTTTAATAACTTTTAATAACTTTAACTTAAAATAAACCTCATTAGGATTTTTAATTCTTACATCTGGGAATAAGAGTGACCTAGAATGCTGATGCAATGATTCATAGTATTTTAGTTTCTGTAATATGGGAGACTATCACATATATATTTTAAATTGCACATTTCACCTGCTACTCCAAGTAGCATTTGGTAAATCTTCCGACTCCAACTTGCCAGGAGCAATCCTACAAGTTGAAATTAAAGATGCATTAATTTTTGGATACCCAAATAAGTAATTTTCACTCCCTTCCCTAACCTGTACAGTGCAGCAAGATGCATGGGTCTTGCTCCACAGGAAGCATTCAATGTCATTGCCCCAAAGCAACTGGAGAGGGCAAGGACCCAGGCCTGAGAAGAGGCAGTGAGAAACCCATGGTGGGGCTGGAGAAATACAGCACTTTATTCACTGTCTGAGTAGAAGAGGGTGCAGAAGCAAGCACACTTCAAAAACACCACAGCCAAGTCTTTCACTTTCCTCTTTGTCTTTGCCACACCTTTCAGCTTGCTGCTATGTGTGGCTAGGTGGGCCACCCACTCCTTCTTTAGCATGTAGAAGTGCTTGGTCATTGAGTATGGCTAGAGGGCAGGTCACTGAGGGTTTTCTGCTTAAGGAAATGTAATATTTAAAAAAGATGGAAGAATATGTAGTTTGTCATCACCTGTGGCTACTGACCAGTACACCAAATGACTGAGTGTGAGATCCCAAAAATAAACAACTCATACTTTCAATAACAGACCTTAAGTCTGTTGCAAAATGTGTCCACCTTGCATAGATTAAAAGCCAAGAAAATAAAACAGATGGTGTCTCATTTCCCTACATCCACATTTTAAGCATATTTCTGAAAGTAACCTCATTTTTCAGCAGCTTCTCCTCCCCCAGACCAGATGTTACATGGGTTGGAAACAACAGTCAAAGATTACTGTTCTGCATGGTCTCTGCTGTGACTTCCAGCCAAGCACGAGCCACACATCCCAGATACTATCTACTCTTGGCCATTGATGGACACTCCCAAAATGCAACCAAGTGGCCCTAGTAATTTTTCTGGACAGACTCCATGCCTGGTCTACATGCTTGGTCCATGCTGTCATCTCTGCCCTGCAGCTCAACCTGCATTCCCAGGATCTGGGGAGGCTCTTGCAGGTGGTATGGCAGGACTGCTTCTGCCAGCCCATGCTGGCCAGTCTCCCCAGCACATCCTGACAGCTGGGCTGGCCAGAAGCAGCAGTCACCTCATGAGTTACAAGGGCAGGAGTAAGTAAGCTCTCACCAGGATGTGTAGGACAGGAGGCCTCCCCTTCATACTGCTGGCACAAACAGGTCCTTTGGTGTTTTATCCTCATGTGAGAGGGAGAGTCAGGGGACCAGAAAGTGAGCCAGGTCTTAAGGTGGACTGTGTATCTTCATAACTCAGTGTTTGACTATGCTTTGCAACCCTTGTTAATCCCCTTTGTCCATATAAAATGTGAGAGCATTATCATCTCCTCAGTATTGCCATAGTAAAGTTCTAGTCAGGAACTTAAAATCATTTCCACTGTCAGGCTTTCATTTAGCTGCGTGTCCTAAGCCATGGAGCATTTGTTGGCCTTTGCACATGCAGCTCCAATTATTAGAGTAAAAAATACAAGCTTATGCTGCAACAGCAGTCTTCAGCTAACCCCTTACAGACTTTACAGAGCTTCAAACTACTAATTGTCCAAGTGATCTCGTTAAAGAACTAAAGATAGCTGTGCAGACTAAAATGCCATCATTCCCAGTGAGTCCATGCGAACACTGATGAGCAAATGAGCCTCTACTGACGCTTGCTACATAGACCTTTAGCTGTCCTCTTCTCCAACTAATTGCCTTGTCCTAACACAGGAGTATTTAATTCTCTCCTGTCAATAATCTTTGCCACTCAATAAAGCAGGATTCTTTCCAAGTTCTAAAATGATTCTGGCAAGCATCACTGTGCTTTTAGCCTTTGTTTGTGTTTAAGTTTATCACTTCTGGGATTGCCCCATTTCTGAAGATGAAATTGCCAAATGGAAATGAAATTACCAATTACACAGTATTGTCTTTTGCTTTCTCAAAATTCATATCAAGCCAAAAGAAGTTATAATGGCCATGTAGATCAAATGGGAAATCTCAAAGCTACAACTCTGCTTGCAGTTCTTGCTCTGTATCTACAGGTTGTCACTTCTTGTGCTACTTTTGTTTTTTCCTAAAAGCATAGGTGTCTCCTAAAAACCTTCATGTTCACACCTTCCTTTTCCAGACAGCTCTCTCCATACCCAACCAAATACCTGCAGTATCGCTTTCTGTGCACTTCCACTCTATACATGTCAATTATAATCCTCTCTAATCCATCCTCTAGTGAGTGCAGAACTGATTTGCCAAACCCCTTTGCAGTTACAATCTTTGAGGCGTTTAGACATAATTTCCTGCACTGCTGATTTCAAGTTTCCTCTTTTCTTTCTCCTTTGCAATTATTAGGGCTTCTTCTTTCTGGGCACTTTCCAACCTTGTCATTCCTCTCTTATTAATATGGAGTTTCATAGATCATGTGTCAGGCCTTTAGTTACCATGTCCTTTTTCATTCATTCACTACAATAGTGCCTTACCAATTATTTTATCTCATTATCTGAACATTTTTAAACATTAGTAAAAACTAGATGCCAAGAGTATCTGTACATTTTTTTAGCAACAGCAATTTTTGAATGCAGACTTAGAGAGCACCCTACTGGTGTCTTCGTTGAAATGCAGCCGTGGCAACAAATTGCATGCAGAGGTGAAACTGAACCAGTGATATTTTAAACAATGATGTTGATAGTATCTGTGATTAAGAGGTAGTGTCTACTGCATTTAGTAGTTAAGGTAGTAGTAGTGATGCAGGTATCAACTGTTGCATAATATCTTTTTACATTAGATTCATGGAAAATCTGCAAACAGAAGTCCAAGAAATGGAATTCATAAAGTTTTCAAAGGGTTTGAACGTCATGAGAAAAGAAGACTTTGCAGAGTGGTTGCTGTACTTCACCGATGAGGAAAACAATGAAATTTATTGGCAGAATGTGAAGGACAGAATTGAGGCAGGAGAGGTTGGTACATGAAGCAGTGCTTTGTTTTCCTTCCTCGTTTGTACATACAGGTTTTGAATATGAGTATCTAATAATGTAACTAATTTCCAAGTCAATTATTGCTGCCTTTGAATTTTATGTAAATAGTAGCAATGATAATTTGCCATTATTTGAGAAATAACAAATATTGACAATGAGTAGGCAATCAGACCTAAACACTAGGTCCCACCAGCTTTACTGAAGTAGATATAGTGGGGTTTGAGTGTATTATTCATTATATATCATCTGAATCCTGTGCTACTCTAGAATATCAGTTTGGAAGAATTCAAGACTTTTTGCAAGTTTACGAATAACCTGGAAGACTTTTCTATTGCCATGAAGATGTTTACTGTTGCAAATCGTCCTGTTAAACGGGGTAAGTGCTGCATACCTTTCCTATGTATCTTTTAAAAAAGCAAGAATGTATTTTTGTTACAAAATTAATGTCAAAGTTCCCAGAACATTTTTATTTCTAAGTTCTAATGTGCTATTATATGCTGAACCACTCACAGCAGACTAAACCATAGAATCATAGAACTGTTTGGCTTGAAAGGATCTTTAAAGATCATCTAGTCCAGCTCCCATGTGATGGGCAGGGACATCTTCCACTAGATCAGGTTGCTCAAGTCCCCATCCAGTCTGACCTTGGACACTTCCAGGGATGGGACATCCACAACTTCTCTGAGCAACCTGTGCCTGTGTCCCACCACCCTCATTGTAAAAAGTTTCTTCTTTATGTCCAGTCTAAACCTACTGTCTTTCAATTTGAAACCATTTTGCCTTGTCCTGTTCCTACAGTCCTTCATAAGAAGTCTCTCTCCATCTTTCTTACAAGTCCTCTTTATATATTGAAAGGCCACAATAAGGTCTGCTTAGAGCTTTCCTTTCCTCAGACTGAACAACCTCAACTCTCTCAGCCTGTCTTCATACCAGAGGTGCTCCAGTCTTCTCCTCATCTTCATGGCCCTTCTCTGGACCCTCTCCAGCAGCTCCATGTCCTTTTTATGTCGGGGGCTCCAGAAGTGTACACAGTACTCCAAGTGAGGTAGAGAAGAATCATCTCCCTTGATCTGCTGGTCACAATTCTTCTGATACAGCCCAGGACACTGTTGGCTTTCTGGGCTGGAAACACGTTACCAACTCATAGGCAATTCTTCATCCACCAGTGTCCTCAAGTCCTTCTCCACAGTGCTGCTCTCAATCCAATCTAAATTCTAGATTAGGAAGGATTTATTAGAACAATACATACTTTAGTAGCACTCATGATAACTTTTTCCTCATAGTGAAGCTAGTTTTCAGAGGAAGTAAACGATAGAAATCTCATATTTTGCAGGGTCTGTAGCATCTTGCTTGTTTTTATTTATTTCTTCATACTGCCTTCTCCATGGAGTTATGTAGTGTTATGCAATCATGGTTATGAAAAAAAAGAAGTAGTAAAATGGTTTCTAAAATAAAGATTTGGAGGAATGTTGCTTCCTTCCCATGTAGTAGAAAGAGGAGCAATGCAACAGAGTTTCATGGACATACAAATTATTTTTGTTACAGTCCTGAAGTTGTTCATGACTTGTTATACTTGAAAGACAGCTCTCATCAGTTATTTGGAAATAGTAATGTAAAAAGTTCCTAAGGAAATTTGATGAGACATTAACATTCATTGAAATAAATATTTGATGGGCTCATGTGGAAAAAAAAAGTGAGAGAAATATGAGAAGAAAAAGAAGAGAATTTGGTATTCTTGAGAAAGAAATATGAAGATTGTTTGATCCAAGGAAGGCCAAATTGAGGCTGGAGTGGGCAGCATTTACAATTTGTGGCTTACATCACTAGTTAATCCAGCCTTCAAGAAGAGTTTTGTTTCCACAGCCTTTCTGGGAAGCTGTTTTAGTGCTTAACCACTCTCATAATGAAGACTTTTCTCTCTTAAACCCTTGGAACTTATGACAATTGCGTCTTACCTCCATGCACCTTTGAGAAAAATCAGCACTTTCTTCTCTATAACCCTTTGTAAGTGGTTGAAGGCTGCAGCAAGATTCCCCCTTACACTTCTGTCCTCCCCAGCTCCTTTTCTTCCATCATGTGCTCCAGTTCCCAGCTGGCTTCATGGCTCTCCTCTGTCTGGTTTGACAGCATCTTTCTTCTGTGGGGAGAGACATTGTATTTGCACAAGGTGTACAAACAGTGCAGAGGAAGGAGGATTAATTAATGATCCTAAGTGATATACGAGAGTTTAGCTCACTTCTCTATTAAGTGTCCCATTTTTAAGTGCCAAGGAACGATGAGGCCAACAGTTAGTGTTGACTCTGGTAACGTTTCCTTGTAAAAACTCATTCCTAACCAACAGGCAGTTGTGACTCTGTGCACTGAACCATACTGTGGTTGAAAACCATCAGCTCCTGAGGTGACTCACAGATATTACATCCATACGTGTCTAGTCCTTTCCTGAATCTCTCTTAAGTTATTTGTCTTCTTCTTTGCATGTGTGTGCATGTGTGTATTCACACATATATGAATATTGATCTGAAAATAGGACAGCATTTTAGTCCTTCCTTTTATTGTAGACCTTTTTTCTTCATAGTTAGCAGTTTCTCTCTGTTAAGGTGGCTCTTCTTGGTTTGAAAATTATTATGCTCCACCATTTTAGATCTTTCTCATTTTCTTCATGTTCTTTTCAGAAAACTGCAATGTCATCTCTGATTTATATTGAGCTTCAAGAGCTGAAACAGTTAACATAAATTTAAATACAAAATCTACAATATTTCATGTCCTTTTCAAATTGTGCTATATCATCTTACTGAAGGATTTTCAACTTGACGTTTAAACCAACTGTAAATTAATCAACTTCGTTTTCACAGGAATTGTCCCAAGAGGCAAAGATGAGACCTAACTCAGGAATGCTCTTTCCTCTAATAAGCTTCAAAACAAATCATATTTATAACAGTGTTTATAAACAGCACTTGTTTATGAAAGCAGAACATCATCATTACTATATTTATTCCTTAGTTGTCCAACTTACTGCAGTAATCTATAATACTGCTATGCTTCAATAACCTCCAAGCCCTCCTTGAAATTCACACTTCTAGGATGCCTTCAGAAATGCCTCCAATTCACATGTTGTGATTGTGCTTGCTCTAATAATCAATAATCATTTCACTCTTACTATCTGCTGTTTTATGGCAAGCACACACATTTCCTCATCTTCCTTGAGTCAAAACTCCAGATTCTTTACACCACAAGACCAAAAGAGGGAAGAGTAGATATTACTGTAATGCACATAGTACTGTGAAGAGAGAAGGCAAAAAAGCTGTAGAGGGAAGTAGATCTCCAGAGAGGTATGACAGCTTTTTATGCCATAAATCCTCATAAACTGTCCCATCATAATGTAAGAGAAGGTAGCCAGACTGCTTCTTTAAAAAACAGAACTACAGGTACATAAAGCCATGTGCTGTAAACAGTGCATTGAGTGTTTGATGGTCTGTGTTTCTACAGAGTTGCTGAGGGCATTGTTGCTTGAGGTGGAGCATATCATAAAATACTATTCTCCAAGGAGAAGTTTTTTTTCAGAATGAACTGGCACAAAACTGGTTTGAGCTAAAGTGGTAGTGTTTTTAATGAGACCATAGTGAGGCAAACACTTGTCATCCACATGCACAGGTATCAACCATAAGTACGTAAGTTTGCAGCATGCATCTATTTCTAGCAAAAAATATCACTCCTACTGTTACTCGAGAAGTAGTGCATTTCAGAAGTTTGTCATACTTCATAAGTAATGTGTTATGAAAAATGAAGCGAGCTCAAGAACTGTGTACTGAGGCCTTCTAATAGTTTACTACTTCACACATCCCAAATTCTCCAGTTAGGATACTCATAAGATACTGTAAATTGTACAGAATCCTGCTGCTTCTGTGTTTTCCAGTTTCTTTACAAGCTCACAGTCACTTATGATGTAATACTGTGTTTTTACTAGCTGAGTTCAAGAGAGCAGTGAAGGTGGCAACGGGACAGGAGCTCTCAGATAATGTTTTGGATACCATCTTCAAGATTTTTGATCTAGATGGAGATGACTGCCTGAGCCACAGCGAATTTCTTGGAGTCCTGAGGAACCGAATGCATCGAGGTTTGAGGGTAACAAGCTGACATCATTGTTTTTAAATACCACAGATGACTGCAGCAACTGCCAATGCTTGTAGAAACACAAGTAGAGATAATTAATAGAAAGAAGTTACATTTTAAACCGAAGATTCTTTACTGCTTATGAATCTGGGAGCAGTGCTGCCACTAAGGACTAGTTATTGTGCATGTGAACTATGGAAGCAGCAGCATTGCATTACGTAAGATGTTTACATAGTCTGTGAGTAGGAGTCTGTTTGTGTAAATACTAACCATACTTTAACTTTATCAACAGGTACCACAACAGCAAGGCATTCAGGGTTACTGGAAGTGTGTGAAAAGAGAAAGCATTAGAGGAGCCAAAGAAGTGTGGAAGCAAATTGGGAAAAGTCCTTTTTAAAGCAGTTTATTGTTGCTTTGCTATAAGTGTTTTTACTGGGGAGGGGGAAATGTCTGTCCTGTTTACATAATGGCTGAATCAGAAATGCTGGGGTTTTTTACTGTAGTTAAACGTTAATTAAGCTGGTTTCTAATGCAATGCTTTTATATCTTTCTAGTGCAATCAGCTGAGTTTACAGAACTCCTGTCTTTTTTGACCTCCATATGGAAGTACTCTTGTTCTAGGGAATAGTGTTGTTTATTCCTCTGTGGAGTCTGACCCTGCACTGTAGTATACAGGGTACACAGGATTTAACAGTGGCCACTGGCAAGGAGCATCATAGCAATGTCATCTCCTGTTGGAAAAGTGGACATCATCTCAGTCACGAGCACAGCAGTTCTCT